TTTTTTTTTTTTTTTTTTTTTTTTTTTTTTTAAATAAAATAATCAAAAATTTATTGTACCATAGTCTAAATGATTAGTCCATTCGCTCAGTACTTACTTCATCAGTGCGTTAAGCTTCGAACAAAGCTACTTTTTACTCTGCTTAAAATTGGAAAAACTTTTTTCTTTTGTCTTTAAAATTCAGGATTTTGGTCAGGTTAGATTAAAAACAAAAATGATTTTTCTCATAGTAACAATAAAAAAATGAAAAAGTTTTGGGAAAAAAGTGAGAAAAAAAAGAAGAAAATGCAAAGTTTTATAAGTGAAAAATAGAAAAAAAAAAGAGAGCAAGATCGTCAACTAAAGGGATTGTTACAGCAATAAATAACTTAACCAAGCTATATGCATTTTAAATCACAATTTGGTAGACTATATGCATTCATTTTTTCAATGCACTCAAAAAGAAGATTTTTTTCTTCTCTTGATTTTTTCATCACTTTTGTTGTTGTTGTTATTGTTGTTATCGGTTAGTTCAACTTGATCCTGTACTTTTTGCTCTTAATTGTCAACGATTTCATACGGCAGACGGTGTGATCAATTAACCGTGAGGAAAAGAGAAAAAAAAATAAACAAAAAATTAAAAATGACATCCAAAAATCGGTCTATAAAGTCTGCAGGTATCAATTACAATAAACTTTTTTTTCCGTTTTCTTTTCTGAAAACAGCTCAGCGTATCGATGGGGAAGGGGGGGGGGGACAACAACAACAGCAACATCGACAACTCTGTGAAGCCATTATACGGCAGTTAAATTTATGCCATAGAATCATTACAGTTTCAGCGTTTTACTAGAGATTTATGAGCAAAGTAGAATGTAAAAACTACTTTTTCCGTTCTCCTAAAATAATGATTAAATTTACAAAGCTTATTTTCGAAAATTTCTCAATTTTTTTTTCTTGCTCCTTCCTAGTGATAATAACGCTGATCAGAAATAAATCTCTAACATAAAAGAAAAAATTTGAATCAGATAATATTTATTTTAAAAGTTAACACTGTTTAGCAGTTAAAAAGAACTTTTTTTTGTGAAGTTAAGGCATACTTTTTGGTTACATCAAAACCCCTCACTTGTAATCTTAGTTATTAAAAGCCCTCCCCCTTCAAAAAAAAACGTTTATGTTTTTCTATACAAAATATTCATCTAACAAACAACGTTGATGTTACACCTTTCCAGCTTTAATACGATAATGCATTCTGTGCGTAATCAATAAGAAAGCACAAAAAATGACAGCAATAGCATAAAAAATATCATTTTATTGGAATTGATCAACTCCATCCAGCTATTCCAATGTTAATATTACTTTCTGCTTTTTTTTTTCACTTTCCTCTGTCAAACAAAAAAATAACAGACATATTGACTACAAGAAATTTGCGTGTAAGACTGCCAACAAGCAACTGGCAATCAATAGCCTAGCAAAAGTGAAAACCGTATTGGCTAAAACTACGCGCAAGAGTCTACCGTACACACTATAAGCGAGTTATTAAAAAGAAATAGCAGAGGAGCAGATAAAAATGGCTGAATAAATTGTGCGATATTGTAGAAAAATTAGCAAAAAATTGGAGTTAAATGAACAAAAACAAAAAAGATTAGAAAAGCAAAGGTGAGAATGGTTTTACCTTGTCTTCGTTGGGTGATTCGAGCGATAAAAATAACCAAGCTCCAGCCATCGCATATGCACAAACGAATGCCACTAACGCAACATGAGGCAATATTAATTTTGCATACTGTAAGAAAAAAAAGTTTTTGCAATGGAAGTAGTTCTGAAATTCTGCTTTATTTTGTTTACTATATAAGAGTTCTACAAAAACAAAATATTAATAATCAAAAAATCATTTTTAACATTCTGTACGCTTTTCCCTCCGCCATATTGGCGCATTACTGTACAACGTTAATTGCAGCACAAAAACCAAACAGTTTTCCGCCATAATCAGATTGCAGCGTTATATCTAAATTTTTTACATTTTTTTTTCACGCTTTTACTTCTACATTCTTTTTTCCCTATTCTTTTTCGCCACTAAGTTATTTTAGACGGACAGTGGTGTAAAAGTTGACAGTTGCCAGAAACACCAGTAAAAGGTTATTAAATAGGGCAGGAAGAAAATTAAAAATGCTCATCCAAATTTAATGATGTTAGTTTTTTCTCTCCCTTTTTTTCTCCTCTTTCCCCTCTGTTGTCTCCACATCGCTTCTCTCGTTGCCAATCAATGAACAACAAAAAAAGAGGAAATATAGCTAAAGATAAAATAAATGAAGAAAAACGTCATGTATTAAAACTTTCTCCAGGTTATTCTGTCCAGTAAATGCAGTTCACATGAATACTTGTAATAGCCAATTTTCCTACAAGTCTTTAGTCTTCCTCCCCTTTTCAAGAAACAGTGAAGAAAGAAGTGTTGAATTGAAAAAGGGATAGATGTGAAAACTAGATATATTTCTGTTTGTTTATGTGTAGTAACATCAATAACCCCCATTTGGTTCTGAAAATATGAGAGAAAAAAAAAAGGGACGAAGCCAAACGAAAATTTGTAGACGATACGATGATAAAAGTTCTTTTACGAAACTAAATCAATCATGGAATATTCAATAGGTTTTGATGGTCCGTTCAAAATAGGAAAAAAAAGAATAATGAAGGCTCTTGATGATGAAGAACCCTCAGATGATCATCAAATTTTAACAACATATGTATATCTCTATACAAGTATACCGTTAAGTGCGCACAAACTAAAATCTAAAGAAAAAAGAATTTTTTTCTAAACCTCTTAAAGATCTGCAAAACTAAAAAGCCTAGAAGCTAAACAGCACCAAAAAAAGCTGATGCTAAAGAACAGACAAAGAAAAGTGGTGAATTTGGAAGGCAAAAAGCAGAAACCTTTTTGAAAGAACGTTCTTCTTCGTTAGGTCCTTTGTCGTCCAGAAATCCCTCAATCTCTTTGAATTGTTCTTCCATCAAACAACAAAAGCAATAATCGGTTGCAAAATGGTTATCTTCGCAATAAAAGTAGCCACATTTTGATTCAGTTTGTTAGTGCTGAAGAAACTGTCATATTTCTTCATTAAGAATCCGAATGCGGCAATGCGATAAAATAACGATTGTGCCGCTAATTTTTCAAAAAAAATTGAAAGCTGTTTGTGTAATTTTTTCCTTTTTTTCCTTCTTTTTTTTCCTCTTTTTCCTGTTGGAAGCCGCAAATATTTATCGATTATGTTCTTCTTCAATTATAGCACCACGTAATTTAATTCATCTTCCGTATTCATTCCTTTTAGTATTGCTGCCGTATACGGAAGATAAATTCATCTGAATGTTGCTTTTAATTGGGCGGATATACACCTGTAATATGTGTACAATATAGTCCAAAACATCAGAAACAACATCATATTTCCATATAAAATTTTATTGATCAACTTCAAAAAAACTTAAACAAATTAGCATTTTTTTTTTGTCGTACCATAAACAATAAAACAAATTGGTCACAACATTAGTTTGGTCTCTAAAAAAAAAGCAAGCACACTGATATAAAGACCGCCAAACTACTAACTGTGCAATATAGTTGTGCTTTTCAAACTCAACAATTTTTTCACCGCTCATAGCTGTTAATAAGTCTATGATAAAGACCGAAAAAAAGAAATCGGAAAAAGTGTTTCACAGGAAAAACATCACTTTTAGTTTCAACTAAAAAAAATGCCAACACCAATAAGAACAAGAAAGAAAAAAGAGGGAGAAGAAGAAAAAGAAGAAGAAAAAATAGAAGAAAAAAAAGAAGAAGAAGAAGTGGAGGAGGAAGAAGAAGAAGAAAAAGAAGAATAAAGGAAGGAAAAACCCATGCATATTTACATTGCGATATATTAAGCCAGAAAAAATACTGGAGTAGGCAAATTCAACGGCAGCAAAAGCATTAATCCCCCCTTCCCTTCCTCCTATTCCCGACCCCCTTCGTTGCCCACTCTCCCCTAACATACACTCACGCGTACCAACACACACACAGCCACAAATTAGCAACTTGGCAACCTTCTTTTTTTTTTCTTTTGCAAAACGAATAAGACCGTCA